CTGACACTTTCCTTTGTTATTGGAAAACCTCTCGATCTTGTAATTTATGCATGTTTTAGTAAATCTTTTCGCAATGAATTTTTCAAGTTATTTGGGAATTTTAAATTATTTCTTAACTCTGAAAGTTTTACAAATACTAAGATTACTGCTGTTAGTGAATCGGTAACGGATATATCAAAAACTATAAAGAAAACAAAATGTTAATATCTATAAACATATACTGTAAATTCACATACATGTATTTTTGTGGGGTCAAATGTTTGAGGAATAATATTGATTTCTTGAAATTTGATTTGCTGGTTGGAGAATGTTTAGTAAGTAAAACATATGAAATGTTATATTTTGTGGTGGTCACCAATTCGTGGGTCTCTCAATACCTCGAAAAGAACGAAAATTAACCCCCACGAAAATTATTGATTTTACAGTAGAAGCTAAGGTATATTTAAGAGAAATTTTGAAAAAGTCTATATATAGCTACAAGTATTTCCATCCTAAAAATAAAAAAAATTTAAAAGTTCAAAAGAGAATTTAAAAAAATGCATTTATTTTCACTTTATTTACATTCCCTTGGCCTCTGGAACGATTGACAAATCATTAATTTTGGAATGAATTGTAAGCCAACTCAAAACTCTTTCAATGGATGTTGAATACAGTTTGTTTTTTTTTTTTACTAAAATTACTGCTTTTAGTGAAACTGTTTATTGCTAAAATTGTATAGATTGCAATATTTCTTCAGATAATTTACTTGTAAAATAATTATTTCTGTACAAAAAAGTTTATATTGTGATTAAAAGGGAAAATATTTTACATCAGAAGTACAGTAGAGAAAAATAACACTGAATGAAGATACCAAGCTCCAGAGAGAGAGAGAGAGAGAGAGAGAGAGAGAGAGAGATCAGTTTTACGTTTGGCTACAACTCCTAATACATTATATATTTCAAAGTATGAACGTGCCGATTGCGAAAATATTTTGTAATTGAAAAAATGTTTGAAGACGTTTAATTCTGTTTGGAAGAGATTTTTATTTTATGAAATACATTGTAACACATATATTATACTGAGTTTATATTTCGTACAAGACCTAGGTAATTAATTTTCCGTATTTTTGTATATGCAGATACCTTTTTTAATTAAGCCGAATCAAAAAGAAATAAATTGAGTAAAGATTATACATTTTGTAGCTTTATGTTGGTTACATTTTTTGTCAATTGAAAGATTTTTTTTTTAAAAAATGTCTTTTTCGTGTTTTCCAAATGAAATAAAATTTATGCTTATTCCTACAGCCTTGGTTTTATTATGAATGCCTGTTGGCCATACTATGTTGAGCACATGGCGAGGATGATAACTGGACTTTTTCGAGGAGCGCTGATTTTTACAATTGACAGATTACTTTTACACTTGGAAGGAAGTTCTTTTACAATAGAAATATTTGTCTCAACATTTAATTCAACGAAAATATAGGGTTATTTCAAAGCAAAAATAAGTTGTCCTAAAAAAAAAACGACAACCACCTTACCCTCAATTTCAGCTTTCAAATTTTAGTGCCCCTCACACCATACCTATGACCATTAGAAAGGTTTTCTTATCTATTATCAGTTATATACCTCCTTATCTCTTCACAACTTACTGAGCGGTGACGCAACATATCGTTAATGTTTACTTCATAGAAATATGAATTAACCTTTTCCCCGCAAATACCTTTAGTTATTTATTTAAGTACAAGTTTCTCTAAATTTGAGTGCAAATAATATGGTGTAATATTCTTAAAGATGATAACATTTTCTGATTTATAAGATTTTTGCAAGAAGAAAATAGGTGGGTCATTTTCAAAAAAAAGTCTATTTTTTGAATGACATATTTTGAAAAATGAAAGTGGTTTTACTATGATTTTTTTCAACTTTATTTGAATAATATAGTAATAAACTATTAAAATCCACTGCATTGCATAAAAGAAAATATTTCTTGTAAAAAATATTGACATTTTATCTTAGTCATTTAAACTTTAATGTCCTTCCTGTTACTTTCATAAAAAGAGCTGTAAAACTCTATTTCAAAATTTTCATCAAATTATCTTTTGTATACCGTTAATAAATGAAAAAATTATCATTGAATGCCAAGATGTTTGACATTCATCTAATATATGAGCGTTTAAAAGCATGTCAAAGTACCATATACCAAACAGAAGCAAAATCTACGGGTTTTTCTTCATGAAAAGCCTTATTGCGGAATGTTTATATGCTATAGTTGAAAAAAAAAAAACATTCTTGTACATTATTTTTGTGATTAGAATAAACAGTTACAGAAAGTTATTTAACAGGTGCTCTGCCAAAGCAATTTAAACTAGGAAAATATACTGGTAACAGTAAGGACTCAGGTAACAGGAAGGACAAAACAGTAACAGGATGGACAAAACAGTGTAACAGGATGGACAATGAAATCTACATTTTAAATAAAAATTGACTTTTTTAAAACTTTATTGGTTAGGAAAAGAGTAATAACTGTAGAATAAAAAAATGATTTTGTCAAATCTGGCAAATTTGAGACAATAAAAGACATTTATGTCCATCCTGTTACGAAATTTAATTCTAAAGTGCTATTAAAATATTTATCAGTTCAATTTTTGTTTATTAAAGGTACTCTATGCTGTTGCAAAACTAAGAATTTTTCATAATTTTAAGAAAAACAAATGATGAAACTTAAATAGGTATATAAATACCAGGATAATTTGTCCCTCCTGTTACAATTTTTGTCCATTCTGTTACAAGAGTGCATGTTTAAGTTATAATGGCACTATTTGAAGCACTAACTTATTTCAATATGATTTACGAAGTTTTTTAACATGTGTTATTAAACTTATTTTACTTAGAAAAATAAAAGTAATTGTTTTTATTGTTAAAACTCAAGATATGAAGTCCAGTTTTCCTTACTGTTACCATATCAATGGTAACAGTAATGACAGTAACAGAATGGACATTTCTCATATAAATCACCAGTTATTTAGTATAACGTACTCTTTTTGCATCATCAAGACATTGAAACAGTTTCTTTGTAACTTAGTAAATCTGATTGTTTTAGCAGAATAAACAATTTAAAGAGAACTTGCATATTATGAAGGTAACAGATGGGACATATTTTCATTATACTCTACCAATAAGACAAACTTATCGACCTTTGAACCCTTTCTTTACTCACTTTCAAATCATGGCGCTCATAAACTTGAGACAACAGAAAATGATGATACATTGTGGATCATGAAAACAGTTCCTAGGAAAGTGAGATAACTTTTACTTTAACATTTTCTTGTTGGTAACAGGAATGACATAAATTGGAAGGACATGTCACTTCCTGAATGTTAAATGCACAATACTAGTCTTTAGTGGGCGGCATAAGTAAAACAATCATATTAAATTAATCTGTAAATGAATTCAATTAATATGAGGTGCAAAATTTGTACATATCTTCACATGGTAATATTTTCCCTATCATTTAAATAAGCGCGTTATAAAATTTTTGTTAATGTGACATGGTTTTACTGTTAAATTTTACTCGGAATGCAGAGAATATTTTTTTATAAAACACCTGGCAAATGATCATAAAATAACTTATAAGCTGTATGACCATGTATATTAACCAACGGGAAAAAAAATTTCACTCTTAAAAAATGTTTTCATATTATTCTGATCAAAAGACAAAAAAGTAGAATTTTTTTGAAAATGACCCAGGTGGAAAATGGTATAAAATTCAATACAATGTATTGAATTTACTTTTGAAAGTGAGTGAAATTAATTGATTGCGGGGAAACGGTCTATGTGTGATTTTGCGTAAGAAATAGGAAGTGGTATAATTATATGCGTTAAAATGCGTGATTGCAGGGGAGAGGGTTAAATTACATGATACAGGATTAAAGGTGAATAGAAACCGATTTGATGGGGTTTTTTTTATATTTTCTCAAATGTTCTATATAATTCATGACTTTTATATTGCTATAACATTTCATACGAAAATATAATAAAATCCTATTTTTGTCTGGAAGTTATTGAGACATCGAATTTTAAGACGTGTTTTATTGACACATCCTTACGCTTTCACAAACTTTAACTTATTTCTTAAAAAGTGTATTTACATTATTTTTCTGATGACTTGCCACAAATTTATGCTAAATTTATCAGGTAAAGGATCACACGGCGGGTGTGACCGGTCGGCATGGGAAGCTCACTCCTCCCTGGCACCTGATCCCACTTCTGATGTTTTGGAGGTCCGTGATTGTTTGATCCTACTTTGTGTTGTTTTATGGATTTTTGATCTTGAATACTGTTCATTATCTCAATATTTTTTATATAATGAAAATATTGAATTTCTTCGATCAGGCAATGTTTTTTGAACATTTCTTATTTGTTTCATTATATTTAAAATATATCAATGTTATTCAATTAATAAGACACAAACATCTATTTATTGAAATGTGGCTAAATACATGTACGAGCTTAGATATCTGTCTGTAAGTTAGTAAACAGAACGGAAATGAAATGAAAGGAAATGTTTACTTACATTTAATACATATACATGTATAAATGTAATTCAGGCGAAGTAACTTTAAATATTATATTCGGATGAATCAAATTTCATTTTATTCTGTTTGAAAATTAATTCTTTATTTTTGAATCAGAAACCATGTTTTATTTCAATCTGCTTACATGTACAATGAATTCACCGGTACCGGATACTACAGCATGTTAAAAACAAATAGTAAATTACACAAACAGTAGAAACTCAACCTTTAATAAACTCGACTAGAAGATTACTACGTTAAGTCCACTTTAAAACATGATTTTGATAATATATATTTTCTGTCTTACAACAATACCACCTTAAGTCCTATTGCCAGAACAGAAAATTATCATTAAATTATAGTATTTTACGAATTGTAAAGGAATATTTCATCCATATACAGCGGTGACAATATTCCTAAAAATTACGTTGCTTATTAAAGAAAAGTCTTATCAATAAATGAACAATTCAAGAACACTTTCTATTGCATCAAACGAAACCGAGGCTCCGATATACCACGTGTTATACATGCCTTGCATGTCCAATATATCCCAGACTCCACCACCGGTTATAGCTTCCGATGGAAAATTGGGAAAATAATACCCCCATTTAACCTGTTGAACAACTTCAGGACTGGCTTTGTTAAAATCTCTGAGGTGTTGAAAAAGTTTTCTTTGAATATCAACGTCCACGTATTTGTTCCATGGATTTGCCTTACCTAGTTGTACGTACACGCTTGTTTCGTAAACGCTGCCATCTGGGTCTCTATTTTCTCTGCTTCCCATCTGATAGTCCCTTCCGGTCACGTTATTTACAGCTTGATGCGGGTTAATCGTTCGAAAAACCGTATATTCCACGTCTTGAAAATCATAGGGGAAAATTTCAAGTGGAGAAAGGGCCCTTCTACCAGGGGAGATGGAGTTAACAATTGTTTTTAAAATATATAAATGCCGGAGATGTTTGAAAATTCTCAACTCGTGCTGATTAAAATCAACAATGGGAAATAAGGAATTCATCGAAGGCGTGAGAATTAGAAAGTCAAATTTCTCCATAACAACAGCACGAGAATTTTTATTTTTATAAGATATTCGAACAGTTTTTCCTCTTCGAATTTGCTTTATGACGACATTTAAACGAATTTCAACACCAATTCGTTTAGCAATGTTAATGCATAAGTTTTGCCAGCCCCCGATTAGGCGGTAAGCTCCCCTTTCAGGTTTGAAGAAAGAATCCATCACCACTGGGGATAAAAACGTGAGACCATAAAACGCTGCCGTCTCATTCAGAAACCCATATCCGTTTAAGGTTAAAGCTGCGAAAAACAATGGCTGTAGATCTGTAAGGTTATATCTCAGAAGAAAATCGTCCACTGTCCCTCGAATCTAAAAAAAAAAAGGACAAACCAATTATTTCTCAATTGGATTTACGTTGTCTGCGAGTGGTTAGAGTGTTTGTTCCAGTTGCGTGTTCGATTAGATACATGTAACAATACTGGAAAATAACTTTGAACAAAAAAACTTAAACGAATTCAAACGTTTACAATCAAAATGAAAAAAACATTGATTGCATTCTACAAAAATCTGTTCCTACATGTAACTCTTTCTTCTGGATTTATAGCATAAATATTGAAATTTACCAACCCTATAGAGAACTTCCGAGGATGGTCTTGGCATTATTTCTCCTTCGAACGTTCCGAAGAAACATCTATATAGAGCATTGTAACGCCTTGACGCCTGAAATAATCTCTGAATGGAAACCCCAGCGGTTTGGAGGCTGGATATCAATTCTACAAAACGCAGAATGAATATGAAAAAAAAGTAAATGACATTGCTTCTTTTTGTCATTAGATGGTCATTATAGGTTTCTTTATTTCAGAAATGTTTTATATAATATATATACGTTACTAATTGTACAATGAATTGGCCACGGATTTTATTCGTTTGTCATATCATGACAAGGAGCACACAGCAAGTGTGACTAGTACGTCAGCTGGGGAATGCTTAATTTTCAATGGCACCTGATCCCATCTCGAGCTCTTATGTTTTTAGAGGAATAACGTTTTCTCTGCTTCAGTAATCTTTTTTAAAAACATTTAAATTTTTCAAACAAAAGTCTGGAAATAAGAATGTCCAAAAGAAACTATAATATCCAGCAATATAGTATTCCGGCGATTAAAATAATTAATATGAATTATATACATAATATTCTACTCTTTCGACGAAAAATTCATTCCTCAACAAACTGGTCGTCATAGGGATACATTAGATAGGGCGTTTTCTTTTGATTGGAGGTGTTAGGAGTTGATTTTTTAATGTTTTTAGTCTAAGCGACAAGTGGAATTGGTGTACAAGTTTCGTAATGATGATAAACAAGCAAACAAACAAACGGAACAAACTGAAAATCATTCTAGATTTCAAATTACCTTTTCTATTCAGCCAAGTGTAGCTAGGGATTTCTGGTCGTATTTCAAACCCGGTATTAAATTTTTCGAGTAATTCCACAGTTTTATCATAGCTTTCAGCTAGTCCAACAGTCCCAAGATTATGCCAAACGTTCCGATAAAATCGGGATGCAGTTTTCCCACCAACCTCGCTTCGACTTTCAAATATCACAATGTTCTGGAAACCTTGTTTCTATTTAAAATCGTAAAAGCTAAATTGTAAAATAATAGAAAGTACGATTTAAAAATGTATTATTTTACTTGATATTAAATGTGATGCTTCTAGCAAATTGAAATCGATAAAAACTTTCCATTCTCAAATATGCTCTGCATGTGTAATATAGACAGATAGACAATAAAATTATTTCACAAAAAGCTTAACTTCTTTAAACATGTTCGTTGTAATTTTCTCCTACTGTAAAGAAATTACAGTAGGTACATCTTATCTGACTTTTTCAACAATAGTTGTTAATCAACTGAAAACAATTTCTTAAGGCCTATCTCGATTGATGCTCCTACAGATCTAATTAGAATTAGATGTTAGATGTTAGATCCGCTCGTATATTCTTACACCAAACCTAGTGTAGCGAATATGCGAGCGGATCTCACATCTAATTTTAATTAGATTTGGGTTCTTATCTGGAGTTCAAATGCCATATGTAATCCTGCAGGGCCTGCCCCTACAATAGCAATCCGATCTGTCACGGATCGTGGGCCCCTTATTCTAGGATATCCCCGGAGGAATTCCTGCAAATAAATAGTAGTAGGGTCAAAACATAAATATATTTTTTCCATATGTATTATATTTATTGCAATTATGGTGAAAAAAGCTTTTCCTTACCCTTAATTAAGCAAATAGGCACAGTTAATTTAGGCGTCGGAACCGGGGGCAGGGGGGGATTAGCCCCCCCCCCCCCCCCCCCCCCCGCCACACACTTTTTTTTGCAAACATAGATTTAGTATAGACAACGTAAATTGCGGCGTAGGTTTAACCCCACCCCACTTAACACTCACAGGTTGCAGTTTAGGTTAGAAATGGGGAAAGTGATAGTGTTTGGAAAAAAAATTGGCACTGTAACCCCCCCCCACCCACCGCCACCACCACCATGGAATAAGATTTTAGAGATGTGACAAAGGAATAAATTTCCCCCATTTTTTTCTTGTTAGGTTATTTTGGCTTCCCACGCCAAAGATTAAAGTTATCGAAGTATCGCACTGAAATGAAAGTTCGTCCACGGTATGTCTTCATGCACATCTGTTTCACGATTTATTATAAATGAATCACAATGGAAATTACTTTTAAAATATAGGTACTTACATGTATTTCGTACGGCGCCGCTGGAGGGCCAGGTAAAAAAATATTTTTATTTGTTATAGATATCGAATAGATATTCGTTCGGACAAATTAGAAATTCGTTCGGACGAATTAGAAATTTGTTCGGACAAATAAGTTATTTGTTCGGACAAATTAGAAATTCGTTCGGACGAATTAGTTATTTGTTCGGACGAATTAGATATTCGTTCGAACGAATTAGTTATTTGTTCGGACGAATTAGATATTTGTTCGGACGAATTAGATATTCGTTCGGACAAATTAGATATTCGTTCGGACAAATTAGAAATTTGTTCGGACAAATAAGTTATTTGTTCGGACAAATTAGAAATTCGTTCGGACGAATTAGTTATTTGTTCGGACGAATTAGATATTCGTTCGGACAAATAAGTTATTTGTTCGGACGAATTAGAAATTTGTTCGGACAAATAAGTTATTTGTTCGGACAAATTAGATATTTGTTCGGACAAATTAGAAATTCGTTCGGACAAATTAGATATTTGTTCGGACAAATCAGATGTTTGCACAAATTATCTTGTATAGAGAGATATACACTTTGTCTATTCAGGAGGATTCATGCTTTTTTAATACATAAATAGCTCTTTGGACCATGACATACACACGTAGCAACTAGACATGTGTTATTAAAGTCGGGTATGTTGATTGTAAATATTCGGAAATAATTATGGATCTATACCGGTATATATTTTAGGCCTAAAGTCTGCCATTCTGAAAGTATATTTTCTGAGAGTCCACTAGTAAATCCAAAGGGTCAGTTACTTCTTATCAAGCATCTTTTCACTCTCATCCCTGACACACTCATAAGATTTCTCATAAAAAAAAACATCATCTGGTTCTACCAGACCCACTTTTGCTGGTGGTGTTAAATTGGTAACACTGGGGTGCCAGTGGTCAGTTACCGCTTCTTTGAAAAGATGAGATCCACTCCTTAAAGTTTTACTCCTACTGCAGGCAATTGGTACGGGAAAAAAATGGCATTGAAAAAGTAAGCCCCCCCCCCCCCCCCACGAAATAGGACTGTCAACTTTGGGCAACTTTTCCTGAGCCCCCCCCCCCCCCCCTATATTTTTTTTTGGCTTGTCAACTTTTCAGGTCATTATTTTTTTTCTCAGCCCCCCCCCCCCCCCCACTTTCAAGAACGATGCTACGTGGCTGTATTGTATTATATTAAATAAACTTCGGACTCAAAATATCGAGCCTCTTATTCGATGGGTCTTAATTTTTTTAAGGTGGGTTACTAGCTAGGACATTTGTAGATTTGCTTCTATACCGCTGTTCCCACATTTAAGTATTTTGTGATAAAGGAACAAAAAGAGGGAATCTCACAAGTCCATCTCCAATGGATTCTTTCTAAGATCGTTAAAAACTATTAAGTATCTTTATAAATTTTATCTTATATTTAAATATCAGATAAGCGCATGAATTAAAACATGCAGGTATAATATTGACCAAATTAAACACACGCCCATTTCCGGGAAAAGGATAAAAAATAGATGAATGCATGTACGTTCCTAGAAAGTGCAGTAAAATTTAAAAACACATCATAATTAAATGCAAGTTAAGCTTCGCAATGATTAAGACAATCGATCGTTTTTTAAATAGAGGAGGGTGGGGGTTGTTACTTGAAAATATTTTGACATTCATTCATTCATGATTTATTTTCCCCATAAAAGGGGTTACTTTCATAATTTCCCTTTCAATGTGAGTCATTGGCCTATCAAACCTTCGAACTGGTACTCAACTATAAAAGCGTATAAACAAAATTAAGAAATGCTGAAAGTGAAATTAAATAGTTTGTTCGACTACATGTACCTCTCCAATAACGGGAGGGGCCGTAGTTATGCTATGAAAATCAACGGACTAGGGAATATACCAGATTGACATTTAATTCACCGGCTCGCGAGTCATAGGAACAACCTGGGATCAATATGAACAGGTTCATTTTTGTGAAGTTTTTTAAATACACAAACAGGAATATTTAATTAAAAACTCAATGAGGACCTTTTAATCATTTTATACACTGCATATGTACCAGATTGATTGATTGATTGATTGAATGTTTTACGCCGAATCGGGAATATTTCATCTACAAATCTGCGACATATGTATATCAGAAATGTATTTCAAAAATCATTCACATGTCATGATTAATAACTGTACGGTAGTGAATATGTACAAAAAATTATAAGAAAGAGATCAACATTAAAACGACTTATCTTCAAAATATTTATTGATAATGTTGTTCATTAAAGTTATCTTGCAAAGAATCAAAATAAAATGAAACGTCTTGGTGCAAATCGCACATTAATCGCTGTGTCCTGATAGTTGTTCACAATTTCTCTAATTTGTCCGAACAAATAACTAATTCGTACGAACGAATTTCTAATTCGTCCGAACGAATATCTAATTCGTCCGAACAAATAACTAATTCGTCCGAACAAATTTCTAATTCGTCCGTACAAATAACTTATTTGTCCGAACGAATTTCTAATTTGTCCGAACAAAAAACTTATTTGTCCGAACAAATAACTTATTTGTCCGAACAAATTTCTAATTCGTCCGAACGAATTTCTCATTTGTCCGAACGAATATCTAATTCGTCCGAACAAATAACTAATTCGTCCGTACAAATAACTAATTTGTCCGAACGAATTTCTAATTTGTCCGAACAAATATCTAATTCGTCCGAACGAATTTCTAATTTGTCCGAACGAATATCTAATTCGTCCGAACAAATAACTAATTCGTCCGAACGAATTTCTAATTCGTCCGAAAAAATAACTAAATCGTCCGAACGAATTTCTAATTCGTCCGTACAAATAACTAATTTGTCCGAACGAATTTCTAATTTGTCCGAACAAATATCTAATTCGTCCGAACGAATTTCTAATTTGTCCGAACGAATATCTAATTCGTCCGAACAAATAACTAATTCGTCCGAACGAATTTCTAATTTGTCCGAACAAATAAAAATATTTTTTTTACCTGGCCCTCCAGCGGCGCCGTAATTTCGAGGGTTACTTTTTAACTTAAAAAATAGTGGAGGAAGTTAGATCTGTTTTTCGTAGCTTTTTTCATAAAGTGTTATATTTTTGCACCTCAAAGTTGACTAGACTGTAATAAATCATAGATAGGCCCCTATAATCATCACTGAATTATTTTTATTAAAATGTTTAGTATGAACAAAATTGTTTGCACATGCCCTTGCACCTCCACGGCATTCAAAGGTTTTTGAAGTCAAAATAAAATGCACACTTTAATCTATTCTACCGCTTTTCCATTTTTGGTGTTTTTTTAATGACATGACTTTCTTCCTACTCTATAAACAAATTACAAGTGAAATGCAAATATTTGATATTATGCACGTTTAAAAAATGATTTTAATATTTTCATCGCGTCTCCATGTGCGAGTGAAAAATTCTCCAGAGAGATGTTAAATAATAAAAAAAATCAAGCAATCAATATTTTCATACAAAAGAAAAAGTAAAAAAAAAAAAAGATATGTAACCTCTTTTTACCCTTTTTTACTGAAATAAAATTTGTACCTTATTCACGCATGTCAGGGGGGTCATCGTCTGTAAAGAGTCCCTCAGGGCCATATCCATAACTGTACTTCAGTACCAAATAGAAACAAATGAAATAAAACATCGACGTCATAATAAAAGATTTTTCAAAGCGTTTTCTATAATGAAGCGTACTTGTGTTTTGCATAAAATACGTGATACACTATATACATCTGTTGAAAAGCATTGTGAACCTAGGTACCACTGTCAAATTCGATCGGTCAGCGCATCACTAATAAAGAAATGTCATTTATGATCAAATGAATGGCCCAGGTATGCTAGTAGGTCACCTTATGGTGTACAGTCATCACATTAATAGTGTAAATAATACACATGTAGTTCTGTTCTCTTTTTCTAATTTTAAACAGTTTTCCATTAATTAAAGAACGCATTTATTTATCTTTAAAAAAACAGTACATGACGGAAATAGAAGACAAAAAATATCTGAATAAGTATAAAAATCTTGACAATTTCTCTGAATGCCTGGATACCTATTGTTTTTCAACCTAAAATATAATTGTTGATCAATTTGCAATTAGAAAATGCATTGCAGATATTCCAATTGGTTTTTTTCTGCAAAAATATTGGAGTTTGGCAATTTTCCCTATATAATATTGTTAACTTTAATCTCTAACTTTAAAGAAATTCTGTGGACAAATTTACATAACTTCGTGGACTCAGAGATACCTTTATGAGTATTTTTGATTACTTATACGCTAATTTTATAAACCTGAGGATCGGACTACCTTAAAAGGGGCTCTAAACAAACAAAAATAGTTTTTTAACACATCTTGTGAAAATCAATGTCACAATGATAAAAAAAAGATAAGTAAAGAGGAATATAACAATTTAAAAGTTTCGTGATATTGTTCTTAAGTACGCGCTTGTTTTATATTTGACACAACATTTCATCTGAAAATCAATGTTTCGAAAGTATTTTTGTTTTGCAGTTCTCATCTTTTTTTCACATACAAAATGTTTTATAGATTATATCTGAATTAATTGGTTCTTTTTCAGTGACACATGAGTAAAATTTCGCACATTTAGTAGATGTTTCAATAAGTCTTCTAAATAACACACCTATATTTAGAATTTTTTAGAAGCATTTATGATTCACACATCTATCAAAGATAACAAAATCCATGAGATTTTATTTAGAATTTTTTAGAAGCATTTATGATTCACACATCTATAAAAGATAACAAAATCCATGTGATTTTATTTAGAATAAACGTT